TTACTGTAGCACACCAGAGTATTGTGCCCTTCTTTATGCCCTTCTGTACTGTTTGTTTGAGCTCAAATATTTGCTTGAAAGCTCCTGAGATTTTCATTTAACAACACAATTGCATGTTCATGATTCTCCGATGACAATTATTGGTCACATGACATGCAGCTAAACAAATAAATTATATCGTTTTTTGTTTAATTTTAATTTAAAATTATTTAAATGATTGTTTTCAGATACAATATCAGTTTTTTTTAATTTGAGCAACTTTATTTAATGTAACATATCTTTATTTAGTATTTATTTATTTAATTTCTATTTATTCCAAATGAAATGGTTCATATAATTTTTTTAATTATTTTGGATTGTTTTTAAAGTTATGCATTTTCATTTATTTCAAATGCAATATATAATCTTTTCAGTAAGTGTTTTATTTTAATTGCATTTTATTATAATTTAATTGAATTGAACTCATACCAGTTTGTGAGATCCTGATCTAATGCAAAGAAATAACACATTCTAAAGCATTGATGCATTAACTCTTGTATTGAATTGAATTTATGCTTATTTAAATATAATTTCTTGCGATGAGATCTGGTTCTGGTGAGATTTGTCCTGTGGTTTGTCACACAGAAGCTTCATTGATGGTCTTTGACTGTGTTTCAGCCGCAGCTCTGGGGAACCTGGTGTCTGATCTGGCTGGACTCGGGTAAGCAGCTTCACTAACAGTGTGTGTGGATTAACTAGTTGTGTGTATTAGTAATGCTGTGTGTAGTTTAGCAGGTTACGTGGAGGCTCTGGCTGCTCGCTTAGGGATGCAGATTCCTGATCTCGCACCGAAACAAGTGGATATGTGGCAGACCAGAGTCACTTCACACATGGTGAGACACTCCTGTGTGTTTGTGTGCGTGTGAGTGTGCTTGTGAGTCAGCATTTGCTTGTGTGGATGTGAGTGTGAGTTTGCATGCAAGTCGTGAGTGTGCGCATGAGTTTGCTTTTGTGAGTGTGTGCGTGCAAGTGTACAAGTTTGCGTCTGAGTGTATGCATGCGAGTGTGTGTGTGTGAGTCAGTGAGTGTGTGTGTGTGTCAGCATTGAGTTTGCTTGTGTGATGAGCTTGCATGTGTGAGTCAGCATTTGCTTGTGAGTTTGCATGTACGCATATGCATGCAAGTGTGTGCATGAGTTTTCTTGTGAATTTGTGTGTGTATGCGAGTGTGCATGCGAGTTTGCAGTGTGTGTGTGTGTGTGTGTGCAAGTATGTAAGTGTGAGTTTGCGTGTGTGCACCTGTATGTGCGAGGCAAGTGTGCATGAGTTTGCTTGTGTCTGTACGTGCAAGTGTGTGTGTGTGTGTTTCCAGGTTGGTCATAGTCTTCAGCAGCTTCTTAATCTCCTCTCTTTGTGTGTGAGAGTGTGCGTGAGAGAGTGTGCGTGTGAGAGTGTGCGTGCATGAGTGTGTGCGAGAGTGTGTGTGTGAGTGTGAGAGTGTGTGTGAGTGTGAGAGTGTATGTGCATGTGTGAGTGTTTCCGGTTTGTTCATAGAGTTTTCAGCAGCTTCTTAATCTCCACTGTGTGTGTGTATGCATGAGTGTGTGAGTGTGTGTGTATGTTAGAGTGTGTGCGTGTGTGTTTCCGGTTTGTTCATAGAGTCTTCCGCAGCTTCTTAATCTCCACTGTGTGTGTGTGTGTGTGTGTGTGTGTGTTCAGGGTAAAGCCATCGGCATCGCTATCGGATGCATTCTGGGAATGTTCCCGTTGCTCTTCTTAAGCGATGATGAAGAGGAGAAAGAGGAGAAGAAGACGAAGAATCACCCGAACTCAGACTGACAGAGTTTTCTATCAGCATGACAACAACATTTATATTGGCAAAGTGAAGAAAATCAAGCAAAAGATGTTCATACGGTAAACATCATCAGAGTAACAAAAAAATAAATTTAAACGACAGTAGAGTAGCTATTACAATTAGTAGGTAGTTAAGACTTTAATCTAGAGATGAAGACTAGATGTTATAACGAGCATGAGTTGAGTTTCTCTCTCTTTATCACTAACTCTATTTTAAAGGCCTGTTCACAGCAGGAACGATAACTCTAACGATAATTCATTTTAATAATCACACTACAATCACAACGATATCGACACGGCAGAACGATAGGAATCTCAATGTGTCAAGTCACATTTAACACTGTATACA